TGAGGGTGAGGAGGGACTGGGATGGAATTCCCAGAGAAGCTGTGGCTGCCCCATCCCTGGAAGTGTCCAAGGCCAGCTTGGAGCAACCTGGGATGGTGGAAAGTGTCCCTGGCCACAGGTTGAGTTTTAAGATCCCTCCCAACCCAAAGCAGTGCATGATTTCTCATCCCAAAATCCTCCGGATCCCGGGAAAGCTGCCGCTCGCCGAGCTCCGGCCTCACCATCGCCCGCACGGTCGTGCTTTGGCAAGGGCAGGAGGGGGGATTTGAAGGAGTGTTTTGTTTGAAACACTTGGAGAAGAAGGAATTCGGGCTTGGTCTCTTGCCTGACTCCCATCTGGGGCCCGGGGGAAAAAAGCAAAGGATCCTTTTGTTAACCGAGTCTTAGTTCCCAAAAAACGGAGCCGTCGAGTTTCCGAGGGCACCGACCCTGGAACTGGGACTCGTCCTCATCCAAGGAGGAACCTGGAGAGGGAGGTGATGTGGTGGCATCTCTGCCCATGCCAAGAGACCCCAACTGGCCCAGGGAACCATCACTCAGTGCTGCTGGACTCAGCTCAGACTCCTTTTCCCATTGAACAGGGAAAAGTGGACAAAGAGGACGGGTATGGCCAGAGTTGCTTTTCCCTCTGTCCTTCCTTAGCATCTCCACCTTGGAGAGTGGTGCCCAGGAGATTCCCCGTGCCCAGGGGACGTGTTTTCACCCCACAGGACCAAGTTTGAGGTTGTGGCAGGGAGGAAAAGGAAGGATGACTGGGATCTGCTCAGGTAGCAGGTATCCATCCCAACTTTTCCAGGCAGAACGCGACGAGTTGGGAACAGCATTTGCTGGACCTCTGAGCGTGCAAGCAGAGCTAATTCCAGCTCAGGGAATCTCAGGGTCTCTCCAGCTGGTGAGAAGAGCAGGAAATTGTCCCAAAGCAATGAATTCTTCCTGAATTAATGTGCTGAATGAGACCAGCGAGGAGGAGGAGGATGCAGGAGCAGCCAGGGCAGCAAAGCCCTGAGCAGAGCAGAACATCTCTGAGAGTCCTCTCCCCCCCAGCCCTGGCAATCCACCAATTTTCATTTATTCCTGCCTTCCTGTAATTTTAAGGAGTGGAAATAGGACTTTAGGAAGGCTGGTGACCACTGAGGTGCATTGATTGCCCGTGACAGGGGAGACAAATCCCGGGCTGCTGCTCCCGCTGTCTGGAAAACTCCCACCCCGAGCAGCCGGGGGTTCATTAGCTGTGGGAGGAAAAGTGCTCCTGGGACATCGGTTATTCCCCCAATTAGTGACTGGGCAGAGCTCTCTGGGGAGGATTTGGGGGCTTCACTCCAGCTGGGAGTTGTCTCCCATGGCAAAGCCTTGCTCTGTGTGTGTGTGTTGGGGACAAAGCTGCGGGCGAGCAGGAAACTCAGGGTGACTTAACTTTGGTGACTTCACTTTGGTGACTTCAGGGTGATTGTGACCATTTTTTTTTGGCTGGAATCTGAGCCTGCAGAGACTCCTCAGCCTGGGGAGTCCCACCTTTAACAACGAGTCCAGTCCTGCTGGAATCACACTCGGCTTCTGACAACAACTGGCAGGGCTGAGCCCTTCTCAGCTCCTCGCTGGGCCCATAAACGACCACTCCAGGTTGTTTTTTCCAGCTTTTTCCAGCAGCCCCTCGTGCCCCGTGCCCACAGCAGGGCTGGCACCCCCAGCCTGCGGGCAGGGAACGTCTCCCAGCCCTCCCTCCTGCCTCCCAGCCCCTGGTGGATTCGGGAGGAGGGCTCCTCTTGCCAGCAGCGTTTCACATCCCGTGGTCGCAGCTCCGCTCTATTCCCGTGGTTTATTTTTTTTTCCTTGGCGTTTTCCAGCTCTCTCCGATGGAGGCACTGCCAGAGGGCAGCTTTTGGTGCCATCATTGAAATTCCTGCTGGCTCTGCCCCTGCTTATCTCCTCAATCCCATTGTTCATTTAAAGTGGGCAAAGAGGACCCAGAGTTGCTTTTCCCTCTGTCCTTCCTTGGCATTTAATTGTCTTCAGCAGCTGAGCCCTTCCAGCCTTTTCAGGGATGATCCCAGGTCGGGTTTTGCAGCAGTTGAACCAGGGGCTGGACCAGCAGTGGGTCCTTTTGTCAGAAAACGCTGCTGGGAAGGACCAGCACAAATGTGACTATTTCAGCTTCTCACTGGCTGCTCCAGGGATTAAACCAGGACCTGCTTGGATTAGGGTAGAGGGCTCTGATCTCCAGGGTTCTGACACCCAAAGGGAAATTCCTGTGGGAATTGGCACCACCTCAGCGGCACAACCATGGAAAAATGCTCCTGGAATGCATCCACTCTGGATAAACTCCCCTTGGGAGCAAGGAAGCAAAGCTGAGGGTGAGGAGGGTTATAAAACCCTCTTGGTTTTTTTAATTTAGGACTGATTGTTCCATCCCCATCCCTGGAAGTGTCCAAGGCCAGGCTGGAGAAGGGAAGGCTCCTGGGAGACCTGAGAGCCCCTTCCAGGGCCTGAAGGGAGAGCTGGAGAGGGATTTGGGACAAGGAATGGAGGGACAGGATACAGGGAATGGCTTCAAAGTGAAAGAGGGGAAATTTAGGTGGGATACTGGGGAGGAATTCCTGCCTGAGAGGGTGGGGAGGTCCTGGCACAGGTTTTCCCAGTGAAGCTGTGACTGCCCCATCCCTGGAAGTGTCCAAGGAGAAGAGAAGGCTCCAGGGAGACCTGAGAGCTCCTTCCAGGGCCTGAAGGGGCTCCAGGAGAGCTGGAGAGGGATTTGGGACAAGGGATGGAAGGACAGGACACAGGGAATGGCTTCAAAGTGAAAGAGGGGAAATTTAGGTGGGATATTGGGAAGGAATTCCTGGCTGGGAGAGTGAGGAGGGGCTGGGATGGAATTCCCAGAGAAGCTGTGGCTGCCCCTGGATCCCTGGAAGTGTCCAAGGCCAGGTTGGAGCACCCTGGGCTAGTGGAAGGTGTCCCTGCCCGTGGCAGGGGGTGGCACTGGATGGACTTTAAGGTCCCTTCCAACCCAAACCATTCCAAGATTCCATAATTCCACGACATCCCTTTTATCCCCAGTGATGGGATTCCAGCTTGTATTTCCCAGCCTGGAGATAACAGTTCATTTTAAAAGCGTTTTTGTCCCAAATCTGCTGAAGATGTTATTTTTTTATTTATTTTCCTTCTTCTCCTCGCTGAGTTATTGCTTTGGAATCCGATTTCATTCTCCCTCCAGGTCATTCCTGGGCCACCAGATTAATCTCAGCCCCATTCAAACTGGATTCTCCCCGTGGTTTGTTTTGAAACTCTGGTTAATTTTTAGCATATGCTTCGAAAAGGCCGGTTTGGGAGGAACAATTTGGGATTTTGGAGTTTGACTCTCAGTGGAAAAGGGTGCCCAGGACCTCTCCCAGGATCCCTGCATGGAGCTGGATGGAATCCTTGGCTGAATCTCTTTTGGAAAGAGCTGGAATTTGCCACCAAAATTCAAAATACTCCACTTTGTCACCGATTTCATTCAACTTCCTTCTGCCTTGACCCACGGGATCGATGCCAGATTCCTGTTCCTTCACTGATTTTGGCCAAAAAACACCCCAAAACTAAAACCTCTCTGAGTCTTTTGCCTGATAAAATGGCTCTGTAATATTCTTTAATCTCCACCAAGGTTTGAGGTATCCTGAGGCCAAGGTTGGATGACAGTTGGTGCATTAATGTTAAAAATTAATGTTAAAAATTAATGTTCTTTGGGTGGTTGGTCCCATCCCTGTGCTGAAATCAGATTCTGCAGGACCTGAAATTAGAAATTCACTATAAATATATGTTTATATGTATTTATATACATAAATACATATAAATATATATTTTTATATATACTTATATTTATAAATATATAATATAAAAATATATTTTATTTTATAAATATATAAATATATTTTTATATTATACATAATATATAAATACATCTAAATATAAAAATATTTTTATATATTTATATATGTATGAATATATATTTAATATAATATTAGTATAATATTAATATAAAATATATATTAGATATATATTAGATATAAGCCCAAATAAATATATATTGGATATAATTTCACTATAAGCACAAATATATTAGATATAAATTCATTATAAATATAGATTAGATATAAATTCGCTATGAGTATAAAAATATAAATTATATATAATATAAATATATTTGTAGATTAGTTAAAATTCCTCTGTAAACAGCATTTTCTTTGGGAATGGGCTGTTTGATGGCAGCACCGTGTTCTCCTCTCCTCTGGAATCTCATCCCACTCTTCTTAGCAAATATAGGAATATATCTCTGTATATATCTCTATGTATTTGATATAAATTCACTGTAAGTGTAAATAGATATAAATTCATTATAAATATATATTATATATAAATTCACTATAAGTTTAAAAATATAAATATATCTATAATATAAATATATGTGAATATCAGTTAAAATTCCTCCTTTGCTCAGAGTGAACTTTTCTTCCCAGTTTGTGCCAACCTCAGGCCCAGGTTTTTGGAAAAATTGGGATCAAAATTCAGATTTACCCTTTGCCTCCCCCAACCCAAGCACCGAATCGTGTTCCTTGCTGGTGGCAGAAATAAATAACAAGGAAATAAATAACAGGGAAACAAATAACAGGGAAATAAAGGGAGGCTGTTCCCTGGAAAATGAGATTTATTTGTTGCTCTGGACAATCGGGGATGAATCAGGATTTAAAAAAAAACAAACCCAAACAGATCAACCAACCCTTTTGGGGCTCTTAAAACCCAAATAAAGGTTTTTAACCCAGAGCATTCTGCACACGAGGGCACAAGTCAGTTATTAAAATTCGATGGGAATTAAACACGGTTTATCCCATTTAACAGGGAATGGAGTTTGCCAGGGAAATATCCCTGGAGGAGCCATTCCCTGCTGTCCTGCAGCCGTGCCACAGCTGGATTTACCCCCTGGCACTGCCCAGAACCAGAGGAAAACCCTTATTTTTCATTTTCAGGCCCAATGTCTGCGGCTCCAGGTTCCATTCCTACTGCTGTCCCGGCTGGAAAACGCTGCCCGGAGGGAACCAGTGCATTGTCCGTGAGTATCCACCAGGATCCACCCCCCTGGGAAGCTTTGGGAAGGGAGGCCCAGCTCACACTTGGGATGACAGGATGTTTCCCAACCCACAGCAATTCCTGGG